AAACGCGACACACTGGACCCCCTCCCGAGGGACTCGCGACGCAAGCCGAACCGTGGGAGCGACGTTTCTTCGCCGGCGGCGCGTTTTCGTCTGACAGCCCAAGGCCCGCCGCGTGTCTCGGCGATTTCCGCGCACGCGCAACTCGAGGACCATCCCCCCGCCGCGCTCGCTCATTGGCTGGACGCTGCACGCGACTCGGTTCACGTGCACCCTGGCTACAAGCGAAACCGACACGACTACTGTATCGTACGCGATTTGCGAGGGTTGCCGCGGGGTCGCGGGGGTGTGCGAGTTTTTATTGGCCGCGCCGAAATCTCGCGTGCTTCGATTGCTTTTTGCATCGCCGCTGTGGGCGATCGTTGAGGAATTATTATCGTAAATCAGGTGGTTTCGAGTTTTGAGTTAGTTGGAGGATAGAGATGGAAAATGGGTGAGTAAATGAGACAGAGGAAAGAGGATTAGATTGATGGAGATGGATAAGAGTGAAATAGAGAGTTTAAAAAAGGCTGCATTGTTTGGAGGAATAGCGAAATTGTTAACCCTTTGCACTCGAGAGGTGACTCTCAGTCGCCATTTGATTTGACGCAGTAAAATTAGAAAATTTGATATTTAATATTGAACTATGTGTAACGCATCGGTGCGTGGAATATTGGGATAACATTGTTTCTTAATTTACTTGTGATTTCTCTTTGAATTCATTTGAGAAAACATCGGTTTTGTCTAGTTAGAAAATGTTAAGTATTTCTAACTAAATACGTCCGAGTGCAGAGGGTTAATTTTTGGTGTAAAATATTGTAAAAGCACATGAGAAATTGCTTATGCATTTGTTCTTGCAGAAGTGTCAATAAATTAAATTTCTTTGTTTCTTTAAATGTCCAGAATTTTTGTTAGAATTTGGAAAAGTGTACAGTGGTAAATTCGTTGTGTCGCAATTTTAATATGATCCGTACTGGAGGTATTTAAAAGTTTGAATGATTCGTTCGAGGAAACGATAAAGGAGAATCGACTATAAATAAACCGTGATGGTCGTAATATCAAGATTCTGCGAAGATGCACGATGCACTTCGTGTCGCAACGGGCGCCACCTACAAGCTCCGCGGTGTATCGATGTTTGTGTAACGCGATTACACGCGTCGCACGACCGACCAGTTTTATTGTCGGCTTGCGAAAGGTGCGAAGTGTCAATTCCTGGGCGCTGTTTAACAGCGTTGGCGTTCTTCTTGACCTAGCTGAACAATGCAGCGAATCGGTGAACGACCCGTTCCGTCTCTGAACCACGCAATTATCGGCCTGCAAAGAATACTTTCTTCCTCATTAATTTCCCACCGGATATGGACATTTCCTAGACTTCATTCTACTCCTCGTTTCAAGCGTACACTCCATATTTCCTATTTCTCCTTTGGAAAAAACGAATTAATTGCGATAACCAATAGAACCTCAATATAAACAAAATTTCTATTTCAAAAATCTTCTGAACTCTTGTAATATTCACATCGTTGTCAACTAAAATCAAAGCAGAAATAAGTTAGATGATCTAATTATAGCTAACGACCAGTATAATCGCCAAAAATATCTACCTCTCGACTTCGAATTTCGATAAAACGGACTATAACAATACGATTTGGCCACAAAAGAAGCTTCTACCGTTCCTATTACCATTTTTGGGATTGATAGTCATCAGCGATTCATCGTCGAGCATTCTTTCTACACAACAAACTCCATCTAACGGTCGTGCCATTTTTTTTCCAATTGTTCTCGAAGCGAACAGCACCGCCGAACGGGTTCCCGGAACCCGGCTGCATGAATTACAAAAACGACGACGCACGTGCGCCGTTTCCGGCGTTTGCGGCAAATCACGACCAACTTCCGCTCGGTGCATTCGGGCCCCAAGAAATGCGCGCGAGCGAGCGAGCGCTACTGACGACGACGATACATACGCCCGACACGGGACGTGCGTCGACGCACTTTTTTTCTGAATTACGTGAACGCATTCACAATGGCCCGCCGTGATCGCGTCGCGATAAGGGCGTGCGCCACCCGCGTTTCGAATCCTTTCTCCTCTTCGTCGCCTCGGATGACGATGACGGTTCCGTTTGAATGGATCAGATAAACCGCGCCGATGGCTGGGTTTGCTGCGCGTCGATTGGCGGCGGTTGCGACGCCGATACTTGGAATTGAAATTGTCGATTTAAAGAAGGTGGAAAACGGTGGATCGAGATACTTGTTAAATGATTCGGAAGATTGATTAACGTTGGAAGATTTGTTAGAGAATGGTTTTCGCTAGAAGATAGATTTGTGATCTTCTACGAAAGCTACTAAAACCATAGCAATTCTAGTAAATGAAAAACAGAGCTGAAAGCAGATTAAACAGCGTTAAAACGGGAAAAACTTCATAGAATGCGAGTTAATATTGTGAACGGCTTATAGAGCAGCCAATGTATTATACAATTTATTACGAGTACATGAAGAATTCTTTAGTTATGGGATACGGTTATTTTCATTGCTTTTTTTACTTGTACCTCATACATACAGCTCACTGATACGTGCAACTCGTTAATTCGATTATGTACTTCAGATAGGCGATGTATAATTTATCACGTGTAATTCAAGAATTTTTGAATATTTTATTGTTGTTGTATTATTTATAATTGAAATGGCAATAGTACGTATAATATATTATACTTTATGATTAATGAATACATGTATACGTATACACGTGTGTACTTTCCAATCGGACTTAATAATACGATAGCGATCGCACGCGTAGGTAACGATCTGGAGACTTCAATGCCTGGTAGCGACGTGCAGTAGAATGATCCTTGCCGCGTGTGCCATTCATCCTCCATCCATAAGCGGCACGAAATTTACTTTGCCACTCGATAAATTATTTACACCAATTATCTCTGTTTCATCAATGTTTCGTTTCAAACAACTATTGCTCTACATAAAACATTCACGTGAATTCAGAGTATCAAAAAAGATTCAACGTTAATGCCAGCGCAAAATAGAAATAACGAAGTGCATAACGCACGAGCAAGCTGCTGATGTTTATGCAGACATTAATTTTTATGGACAAACGTACAGCGACTGGAACGAAAAAATAAATAAACAGATAAAAACGTAGTTTATCGATGTTTTTCGATTATTCCGAAGCGACATTCGCCCCCCCAGACATTTACGTCCGCAGCGAATACACGAAAACCGCGGCGGAACCGCGAAATCCTCTTTTTCGTTCGACTCGCTCGCCAGAAACGCCCCTCTATCAACAGGTGCAACGATTCCGGCTATCTACCTGCATACCTAACAAGCGACAATTTACACACCGAGGGAACCCACCGAGAGAGCCGTCGTTCGATCGTCCTCTCCGCTCTTAAAATTAATTCAAACAAGCTCGCGTGAAACGAGCGCCGCGCCGGACCCACCGCGCGCGCGTTAACTACCAAATCGATTAGGGGGCCGGTGTTCACATTAGGGGGAAGGATATTTCGATATCTCCGCGGTGAAGTTACACCGGCGCGCCTCGGAGGCGAGCAATTCGAGATAAAAGGACCGGGGAAAGGACACGTGGTGGCGTCCGCTGTGCGTTATACGAGCCGGGCGAGAGGAAAAGGGAGAAGAACGAGGAGAGCTGGAGGAGAAAGAGAGAAAACCAAAAGGAGAAGAGAAAGGAGGATCGAATGAGAGTCAGTTGAAATGGGAATGGTGGATAAGAGAGAAAAATTGGATGATAGAAGTGAGTTCGATGACAGAAGAAATAGAGAGAAAAGAATAGAGAGGAGTTATATGAGAAATAGAGTAACGAGAGAGAAAGAAATAGAG